AATATTAAAATTTTAATATATAATTATAAAAATGAAATATTATTTTTAATTATAGTCATATTTTTAATAATATGATGTCTTAATTATTTATTTATTAAATAACATTAATTACACAATATATATAAATTTATAATGATTTAAATTTGTAATTGATTGTGTTTACTTAACATAATTATTTGAAAAGGGTTTTAGAATGAGTGTAGTAATTAATGTGGGAAAATCAATGTATCTTAATTTTTTGTTTGAAAAAATGTGTCTAAAATTGAGTGGGAAAATAAAATGGAAAATTATCTAGATTTAATATTATTAATATAAGATAAGATTAAGAATATGTTTGGATATAAATTAAAAATGTTTTTAAGAGTTTTTCTACTAAAATTAAAAAATATTTTTAATAAAAAAACTCTTAAAAACATTTCTAAACTTATATCCAAACAGACTTTAAAATATAGATATAGAGATATAAATAGATTTATTATCTAATTACATGTCAACCCTTGAATTGAATTTAACATATATAATGACATAAATGTTTCAATAAAAGTAACAAAAAAAAAGTTGGAGGCTATTTTAAATTTTGAAATACTAAAATTAAGATTTTACTTAAATAATTCATCTTTTATAAATATATTTCTTTTAATTGTGATAGCTGAAGAATTTATAAAAAAAAAATGATTAATAGTATAAGAGAATTACTATGCCCCTTAAAAAAAAAAAAAAAGACAGAGAGAGGGAGAAAGATTTGTTATGCAAGGCTTATATGATTAAAGAATCAAAAGTGGAAAGTTTGTATCGAAAGTTATATAATAAATGTGAAATTATTTTTTTTTAATAATTATTTTTATTTTTATTCTTTAACTAATATTCTAAGAACGATGATTAACATTTTAAAAAGTGGAAATATTATTTTATTTTTTTGAGTAATATATTTTAATTACGTGTCATTCATACTTATCAACAAAGATAGAACCTAAGTTGTCAAAATGAAATTAAACACTTACTTCATTTGTTGGCATGTATGTTGTGTGGGGCGGAGTTTTGAAAATTCAGAATAAATTAATTTATTTTATAAAAGTGGATAAATTAATTAAATCATTTTTTTTATAAACTGAATTGGTTTAAATTTTTAGGATATAGATTAATTTTTTTTTAAAAATTAGATGAGTTCGATATAATATAATTATCTATTTTATACTCGTTAATAAAAGAGAAAATATTTCATAATTATGTCTTTTTTTTTAATACATACATATTAGCAAAGATAGTGTGCAATTACTTCAATTTTATGAATAAAATTTTTATATAATAAATTTTTTTACCTTTATTAAATATTATCATCCAATTTTTATAAAATATTAAAATTATTTTTGACAATGTATACACTAAAATAGGAAATTATTTTTATATATAAATATAGACATATGGATCAATTTAAAAAAAAAATCAAACCAAATTAATCTACTTTATAGAAATGAATCGAGAAATCTAACCGATTTTAAAAATAGATGTGTTCATGTCTTTCTATGGCAAAAGGTCCAACATTCCCAGCGTAAATGAAGTCGTCTCAGCAATTCAATAATCAGTGGCTCTTTTCTGTTTTCATTTTCACCGGAAATGAAAATTTGTTATGAAAATGTGTATCTTTTCATTTTACAAATTTCTTTAAAAGAATAACGTTTTTAGTGTTTTCAAAGAAAGTTAAAATAAAATATTGAAAATGAAGTGGCACTTAATGTAAATATTTTAATCACTTTTGTTTTTCAAATCTCATCTCCTTTTATTTATTTATTTTATTGTCGTTCATTTCCTCATTTTTTTGTCTTCACTTTTTCAACCATTGAATCTTTTTCTCAAATTACTCAATCTCTACTAATTATTAAGAATTATTCTTCTTCATGATCTCCAATATTGTTACTATCATAGCACCCCTGATTCCTCGAAGTTCACGGAGGTCATAGTCATAGACATCATTTATGAAATTTGGTACTTGTCATGTTCTCGTCTTCCTATTAGTTAGATGGAGCAAAGTAGTTCAAAATTTAACAAATATAAATTGTCTACAATACTTTCATTATGTCCTCAAATTCTCTCAACAAGCATAACTAGTTAGTTAGTCACAATTTTCCATTCATGGTTCAAATTTTTGGATAATATTTTATTATGACCAAAATATATCTTTCTCATTCAAATTTTTTTTTATTTACATTTTATACAAAAAAAAATACATTTCGTAAAATTTTATTAAAAAATAATTAAATCAAACACATTTTCAATATTTTTATTTTCTGAAAATAGAAAACAAGAACTCAAACTAAACAAGTTTTCTAAATCTAAAAATTTGAAAATAAAAAATATTTTTAAAGATAAAAATAGAAAATAATTTCTCAAATGAAATAGTACTTTTAGTTTCTCATTGTAAGATATACTAAGGTACTTCATTTTAAAATTGATCTATGTTCACAAACTTTAATTATCAGATTCTCTAATAAAGATTAATTTTAGCAAAATTGATAATACTTTATATCATTAATATAGTTAAAAAATATATTTTTTTTTAACTTTAATTATTTATGTTTATTGTAATCTTTATTAATAATTACACATTTTTTAATATCTATCTATTATCTATTATTTATTATACTTATGAACGAAGGCTTTTCACATAAACAAAGTTATCATCATATTCATTCTTTTTCCACCTAAACTCTTTGATTTTTTTAGTTTATTGAAATATATTATTATATTTAATTAAGACGATTATAACAATAATATATTCTAAGTAAATCAATCTATTAAATCAGTATAAAATATTCAGAGATTATGATAATTAATTTACTAAATTTAATTTTAGAAAATATTTTTTTGATTATAATTATTTTTTTTTATGATGATTTTATATTTTTTAAAATATATATCATGTATAACATTAATAATATATTATTCTATTATGAATTATAATTCAATCAATCAATTAATATATTTTTTAATTCAACCATTTAATTTATATGTGTTTATTTTTATATAATAATTTTACAACAATTATATATTCAAATTCAATCAAATAATATACAATAATAAATTTATATTAGATTAAATCATAAATAAAAATTATAATTCAAAATATAAAACTATTTACTACATATTTTAAAAATTTTAATTTGTGTGGTAAAACACTTGTGGCCTCTTAACGACTAGCAGATCGCATCCCTCCAATCATCTAAGATCATGAAATACAGAAAATCAAGTACCCTATCTTTACATAATTCATAAGAGAATCTCCTTATTGATTAGGTAATATCCTATTTCTACATAATAGATAACAAAATCTACTAGTAAATAATCTACATAGAAAATCACAAACTTGTATAAAGGGATATCAGATATATCATTTTCATCAAATATTCTATAACATAAACATCCATTTACTTAAACATTAAAATCTATTTGCAAGTGTCACACCATTGATGTTGGGAAACAGAAGCTATCATTCAACCTCTCGAAGTACAAATCCAGTAACAACAAGCTTATAAGATCTAGGTAACAACAATGTTACAATGTATATATATATATTCTTATTTTTATTCTTTTTCTTGAACCATTATTTGTAACACTATTTTTTTTTATTTCTTGTTTACTTTGTAATTGACACTTTTGCAAAATTTTCCATTAGTAAAAATGGAGAATGTGGAGGAGAGAGAAACATTAGAAGGGGATCGAATAATGTTACTAAAAGATTCTCACTTTTCGCATTGTAATGAAGTAGTAATTGTTATAGATATAAGAGGTCAGACAAAATAAAGAACGAATTAAGGGATTTATATTAACTCATCTCAACTACTAAGACTATATTCAGTTCTTGAACTAACGAGATCAAGTTGCATTGTCTTATCAAAATACAAGTATTTTTTACCAAATTACTTATGGTTCAACTCTAAGTATTTTTTGAATTGTCTCTTCAAACAATCTATCTAAGTATTTTTTTTTATACAAAGTCTCTATGAACTTCAATACCGAGTATTCTGACATAGTCAATTTATTATTTAGAGGTCGTAAAGTATAAAGATTTATGCATATTTCTTTTTATGACTAAGAGTTCGTCTTATTTATTAATAGAATTATCTTAATATATTTATCATCTTATATCATGATTCGTTTTACTAACAAAATATGTATTAGTGAAAGATTTGTTTTAGTTATTTCAAAAATTTTAAACTATTGATTAAAAACATTTATGTTTGTTAACGGCAAAAGTTAAAATTAAAGGAATTTAAAATTATTTTTTTATCTAATCGAGAAGAAACCATGTGTAAGATTTTGTCTCTTTGTTCTTTATTCATTTTGTGTTGTAAAATGATTTTTCTATTATTATTCATTTTATCTAATTTATAAAATTATTCTTTATGTGTCGAGGACATATTTTGATGATACTGATAAAGGTATTCAATGAATTAAAGATCTCTCATGTTTATCTTTTCCAACTTTTTTCCTTTTAATCCATTTAAGACAATATATCGAGACACTAGAAAAAAAAAAAAAAAAGGATATTTCTCGGTGTATTGTGATTTTCTTATTGTTTTTTCATTTCATGTAATTTATAATAAATAAAAGAATTATGTTTAGGACATATATATTGTGATGATATTATGAAAGACAAATATGAATTTTTTTTATTAATCTCATTTTCTTTTATTTTAGATTTTATCTTTAACTTTTATTGTAATATCTCACATTTTTGTATTTTATGAAATTCTTCATTTTTATGTTATGGACATTATTTTGGCGACAATGATTAATTTTATTGTTGTTCATTCTATTCTTTTTGTTTTTTATTTTCACTCTTTGGTAATAATGTTTCAAACATGAATTAACATGGGAAATAAATGCTTCAGCTCGTGACTTGCCACCTTATCTCACCTCAACAACACTAAAAAAATAAGCTTCATAATTCAAATGAATACAATAGTACGTAACAGAAGACAAATAAACACACTGAATAAAAAATAAAAAAAAATAAAAAATAAACTAAAAACACGTGATTATTCATGAAGGCTGCAAGCCTGCAACATTTACTTGGCAGAGGAAATTCAGATGGAATTAGAATTGGGACAAGGAGGAATAGCTATATCAGTGATCCCTTCTAACATCAACACCACACTCTTCATCGTTGGACGCAGAACAGGTTCATCTTGGATACACCAAAGTGCCACCTTAACCATATTTTCCCCCGCAGTTTTATCCACGGCTTCCCAAAGGAAAAGCTTATTAAGCTGTCCGGCTACAAAACACTTATAAGCCCAATTGGAGAGGAGAACCTCCTCAGGTTGGGAGACATGAACTTCGATATTTCTTCTGCAACATAATATTTCCAACAGCACTATTCCGTAGCTATAAACATCTGTCTTGACAGATATTGGCATGTTCTTGTTCCATTCAGGGGCCAGGTACCCTCTTGTCCCTCTTGCCCCTGTGAAGGTTCTGGTTTGATCTGGCATCAGAAGTTTTGCCAGCCCAAAATCAGATATCTTGGCTGTGTAGAACTCATCCATCAAAATGTTTTGAGGCTTTATGTCACAATGAATGATTGGTGCCTCACACTCTTCATGGAGATACAAAATCCCTCTTGCAATCTCAATTGCTATTCTTACTCTCTCATCCCACTCGGGGCGTCTGTGACTCTGATTGTGAGCCCCAAAGATAACGTTTTCAAGGGAGCTATTAGGCATGTACTCATAAACCAGAAGCCTTTTAGAACCCTCGGCACAGAAACCCAACAAGCGAACTAGGTTCTTGTGGTGGGTTTTTCCAATGGCTCGCATTTCTGCTTGGAACTCCCTTTCTCCTTCTTCCACCAACTTCTCTAGTCTCTTCACCGCAATCAACCTCCTACCCTTGTGCAACTCTCCCTTGTAAACTGCTCCGAAAGATCCTTTTCCCAATTCTTGTCTGAAGTTACTCGTTGCTCTTTTCAGCTCGCTGTACGAAAACCTTCTCAAAGTCACCTCTTCATTGAGGCCCAAGTTCCCAGTCTCCATCAGCCTTTTATACCTCAATACCCGAATCTTGTACATGAAATGGCTGGAGATGACAAGGGTCGAACACAAAAGCAAAGAAAACACGGATGTAATGACAGTAATCTGCACAGTTGCTTTGTTACTTGTAGTCTTGATTGGAGGTGGAGGTGGTTGTTGAGGCACAGGACCATCATTCCCCGTCCCATTCTTGAGACTCCTGTTTCCCACCTTCAAGAATAACGAGGCTTTATCTTCAGCATCCTTTGGCCTACTGAGATATCTCAAAGGCAGCCTGTGTTTCATGCAGCTTCTGTCCTTATCGTCATAAAATGCAGCCTCACAATTGCAATCAGCGGAACAAGCAGAAGAGCAATCTTCTTCTTGTAACATTTCTGCCTTGAAATAAGGAAGATCCGCCAACTTCATATCCCCCACCGGCTTCATCACATAAAAGGTTGCACTATCTTTCCCATTCACCTCGGCAGTACAATCTTCTTTGTGAAAGCTCCTTTTGCAGCCTAGAGTGGAATCGTTTGGATATATTAAGTCAAAATCCGGAAGACAAGTGCACACTGGTTGGTTGTCATTGGTTGTGCAGTAGCTGTTGAAGCCACAAAAACCTTTTACTATACAGTTATTTTCCCGCGGCCAGTTACCCACTTTGTGGATACTACCATTGATAAAATGCGCATACATCCGAAATATCCCATCAAAATCCAGGGTTGAACGATAAATAACCCCGTTCTCTTTAGGTAAAGATAGAGCACTGTCACTGATAAGATTCCTCGTAAGGCCCCCTTCACTGCCATTGGTGATCTGCAGTGAACCTGTTTGGTTGAAATAAAGATAAGTTTTGACACCAAAATTGTAAGTTTCAGAGGCCCAGTAAGCATCCCATGCTGTGTCAGTTGTGTTTACTGGATACAGAACAAGATTTCCATCATTCTGCATCTTGAGACGATACCGTCCACTTGAGTGGCTGTTCTGCGATGAACTAGAGACCAGTTGAGGTCCATCAGGAAGAAGAGATTGACCCCCCAACAAAGTATCTGTTGGGTAATCGAAACTCTGCCATATGATGCTGGAATTATTGTTGTATAGTACAAAGTTTCCAGAATCAAGCACGGAGGCAGAGGAAGCTTTCGCACTAGCATTACGCGCAATAATCTTCTCCCCTCCTTGCTCGTCTATTAGTACGACTTTGCCATCCATCGTTAGTTTTAGCTTTGCATTTGAGTTGACCGGTGGATCATTCCGCTGTGCAGTCCATACCACTGTCTTGTTCTTCCCGCAAATCAACCAAATTGCAACGACAAAGTCATTGCCTTGCCCTTGCGGATAGAAACCAAATGCAAACTCACCAGAACGGGAATACCAAGCAGGAGTAGTACTCGGGAGCAGTGTGTCACCGGGTTGTATCTGCTTCGTTTCAACTCTTGTGCCTCCAGACATGAGTAACAGCAAGGTAATAGTTACAGTATTAATGACATCCATAACTATTCAACTTTATGCTTTCAATCTGAGAGATAAGGAAACCAAAGTTGCAATTTGTTATTACGCTGGCCTTCCATGCTTTAGATTTAAGCAAATGGCCTCCCAAGACTTACTTTTCTAGGTCAACGTCTCAAATCAACATCATCACATAGAGAATAAGCGATGCAAGACTTCCATCGTCAAGTCTTTTATTACCCAAGTAAAGTGAATTTTATGGTCAAAGTAAATTTAATGTAAAATTTAGTATAAATTTTTCAAACCTTTGGCCAAAAAAAGCTTCTTTTTTTTTTACCAATTTTTGGTCATATATGATTTTGAGACAAAATCAATTTTTCTTAATTATAACAAAATTTATATCTTTATTAAAATCATAGTCGATAGGAAATAAAATCAATTCTACACACTGAACACACTTTTATTACATGAACTTTCAGGGTGGCAAATACAAAAGCTGGCTACCAATACAATTACATTACCAAACAACAAGAACAACAATACAAGAAGAAAGTGAAACTACTACAGTAGTGCATATACTGAACATGCATACAGGGATAAGTTATAAATGGAAAAATGCGTTGCTAAGAATACTTTTTAGAGAGGTGGGCTGGAGAGGGAGGAATTGGAATAATTTTCAATCCCTCTAACATCAAGATGACATTCTTGATTGAAGGACGAAGATTCGGATCATCTTGCACACACCACAACCCCACCTTCACCATTCTTTCCATTATCCTCCAATCTACATCTTCATCTTCTGTAACAAGTTTATTTAACTGCCCTGCTGCAAAGCATTGATAAACCCAGCTGGAAAGAAGTATCTCCTCTGCTGAGGAAACATTCATTTCTATGGTGCTTCTGCGACACACAATCTCCAATAGTACCATCCCATAACTGTAAATGTCAATTTTTACTGATATTTGTGCATCCTTCTGCCATTCAGGTGCCAAGTACTTGCTTGCCTCGTCATTCTCTCTTTTTATTCTCGAATGGTCCGTCTTTAAAAGCCTTGCCAATCCAAAATCAGAGATCTTTGCAGTCCACGCTTCATCCATAAGTATATTCCGAGGACTTATATTGCAATGAATAATTCGGACTTCGCACTCTTCATGTAGATATAGGACTCCTCTGGCAACGTCCAATGCGATTTTTAGTCTCTCTCTCCAAGCTACGTGCTTCTCATCATTGAACAGAAGATTTGCAAGAGACCCATTGCTGACGTATTCGTAAACAATAAGCTTCCTAGATCCGTTGATGCAAAAGCCAATGAGCTTAACCAAATTTCTATGATGTGTTCTAGCAATGGCAGTAATCTCAGTTCGGAATTCCCTCTCCCCTTCATCAACAATTCTCTCCAATCTCTTGACGGCGATACTTCTTTTACTATCACCTGTTGTGCCTCTATAAACCGCCCCAAATGATCCTCTGCCTATTTCTTCCGTGAAGCCTCCAGTGAATTTCTCAAGTTCATCAAAAGAAAATGAACGCAAAGAACATTCTTCAGTAAATCCCAGACCCTCACTTGCAGACAACGTTGTATACCTATAAACTTGCCGTTTATAAGTGAAGAAAACGAACAGCGCAAGTACCAAAGATAACAATGAAATGAAACCCAAAGTAAAGGCTATAATCATTATAAGTCTCGTCTTGTTATCCACGACGACCCTAGTCCCAGGTTTCTGTGTGGAGTTGTTTGGAGTGACAATTCCCGAAGGCACCTTGAAGAAGGCCACGGTTACTGAATCTTGAACCGTTCTGCGTCTGCCATATGCTAGCGGGAGTCTGTATTTGTTGCAGTTGCCGTCGGAATATAAAACTGCCATGCAATCACAATCTTCCAGGAAAGACTTCTGGCACTCTTCCTTCTTCAACGGTGCGACAGAATATGGAATAGCACCACCCCAATGCATATTCTCCAACTCGGTGACATTATACATACGCGTTGGGTCTTCACTGCTTTGGCAACCATCTTCTGCGTGGACCAGCACGCAGTCCAGAGGCAGAGACGCGTTACCCTCATGCCTACTTTTGGAGGGGACGAAACTAGGAAAACACTCACACACGGCTTCGCCTGTTACGTTTGAGCAGTAACTGTTAAACCCACAAGCCCCGTTGATTTGACATTTCTCAAGCGAGGTGCTCCACAGTATTTGGACATGTGAGCTTCCATTGCCCTCAAATTGGTGCTCATACAATCTCAAGTTCCCGTCTACATCAAGTGTTGCACGGTAGATTGAACTCATGTTGTGTGATTGCTTTCCGTGGCTGATGTTACCGTTAAAACATGGATGGCTGCTGAGGCAAAGAAAGCCTGAAACGTCAAGACTGAGTTGGTCATTTGAAGTATAAGTATTTGAAGCCCAGTAAGCATCCAAGGGAGTTGCTGGGCTGTTGACAGGGTAAGCAACCAGGTTTCCATCACCTTGCATGCCAAGAAAGAAACGTCCACTAGAATGGTATGATTTGGACACACTAGAAACCAGATTGGCGTTGCTAGTTAAATTCTGACCTCCTAATATGGTGTCAGTTGGATGATGAAAGCTTTGCCAGACAACAGTGTCGTTCTCATCATAGAGCACAAAGTTGCCAGAATCAAGCATAGAAGCTGAAGAAGCTACTGTTGTAGAACTTGAAATGATGGGATCTTGGCCTTCCCTTGGACTCGGGAAAATCTGCAGGCCAGTCGTGGTGAGGTTCAAGGAGGAATTGGAGGAGAGTGGAAGGCTATCCCGGTCAGCTGTCCAGACAATAGTTTTTTGAGCACCAACCAACCATATTCCAACAGCATAGCCATCACCTTGCTCGTAAAACCCAAAAGCAAAATGGCCAGAACTTGATGCCCATGAACTGTCATTGCCTCCAGCAGAGAGCAAAGACCCCACCTCAATCATGCTTTCACCTGTGCCTTCTTTTGCCAATAACATTAACATGAACAACACAACCGCTATGAAGGCCATAGGATTCGGTAACTAGTTACTTTTCAGCTATCTCAAACAAAACTGTTTTCTTGCTGATCAAACTCACTCGCATAACCACAGCAGTTGCAGGGATTGTTTAATCACATAACGACCAAACTTTATTATAGGGATTCATTAACAATTCTCCGTTTCAAGAGTTGACTGCCTGTCATGCACTGCTACAAGTCCTCCACGGCCCCACCACAGAAAGCAAGTCGCCCTCGTTCTGAATTTCCTCGCACAATTCAATAAATTAAGTCGCATTCCTCGTTCCATGTTGCTAATAAATGTCCAACATGGGGTAAAAAAAACACTAGGTAAATTTTTCTACATTTATTTTATTCAATATTTTATGTTCTACGTCAAAATTTTCAACTAACTATTTTTAATTTTGAATTTTATGTTTCAATTTAATCCTTTAAATATGAAATTAATCCTTATAATATTACTTTTTATGCGCTCAGTACACCACCCATCCCCAATTAATAACTGCCCACTCATCTAATTCTTCATTGGTTGTCTTTCCTTTTTTGCTTGCCATGGGTGGATTTCTTCCAACTTAGAGCACCATACCGCAACAACACATTCTGAAATTGAGGTGCTTTATTCTACACGTATATTGACCCGTTGTGTTTCAGGCTGTGTATTAACTATATTCCTATTCATACAGTTTTGCAATTGTTTTGATTGATCCACTGCATTCTTTGGATCCTAGCTTCTCAAGGGAAGAACATTGATCCACCGCATTGTTTTGATCCCAATTTTCCATTTTGGTGTTCAATTTCCTATTTCTCTCTTTCTTTTCTTTTTTAACTTCCTCATTGTTATATTTGGATTTTTGTTTGTGTTTGAAGTTGAACTTTCGAAGTTTTTAGAGAGGTGTTTTACTATCCAGAGTAATAGGTTCATCAACCATTGATTCTACAATCAACAATACTTTTTACGGTATTTTTCCAGCATTATTGATTTTGGATATACTTAGCCTTCAATTAAAAATATTCAAAATTTTCTAATTTCTTTTTCAATTTTTTTGGCATCTTTTCTCCCTAACTCCTAAACATACTTTTGAGGCGAAGCTATATCTACTCACACCACTTGGGTAAGTTATTTCTTTCTTCTTCTATTATTTTGCTTATTTTTCTTTTCTATTAGTAAATTTTTGTATTTGTCTCTCATATGCAAAGTTTCTCAATGAGTAAGATGGGTTATTGGACTCTTTTTTAGGTGTTCAATGGCTTCATGAGGTTTTAACGAGTTATTTTTCTATCCTTTTCTTTTTTCCAAGCAATTATGTGTGACACCTTATACTTTGTTATTAATTTTTATTGCAATTGACTAATTTTTCACACATCTTTTTGCCTATATTTTTTATAGTCACATTATATATTTTTTTTTATATCATTTTTTACTTTTATTAAGTTTCACTGTTAATTAACATGGTAGTAACTTGTGCTTTCTATATATCTTTTTCGTCTATTTTACCTTTGACCTTTTTCTATGTAACTACGCATTACTCTTTACAAAACATTCACTCGATTAATTTCGTTTCTCTCTATCTTATATGTAAATTGATAATAATATATACTAATACATAAGTAAATTTGTAATGATATATACTATTCTGATATATTAAATTATTAATCATAAAATGAATTTGCATAAATAAACACAAAAGATATAATACACACATAAAACATAAAACATAAAACATAAATCAATAAATAAAAATTAATATTAAATTTAGCTACTTATCCAAAGTCTTAAAAACTATTAAATAATTGGGGTTTCCATTTATTTTTAATTTATTTTTCTTGAAAAAGTAAAAAAATAAATGCGTATAAATAGATTTAAAATAATAAAAAAATTAACCCCCCACCCCCCCCCCCCCCACCCCCAC